TTCACATAAATACAGTAGTACTGTTTTAATGGCAGACACTGTGACCCAAGCCCAAGGACAAAAAGAAATGCGGAGTGGGTTGCGTAATTTGGCAAAATGGCTTGGTCCCCAAAACCTGTAGCTAGAGCCGCTCATGTGGGCGAATGCTTACCACCCCATATAAATGTATATAAGTCGTGTATAGCGCAGCACCAGCCAACACTAAAACACCCCAAACCTCGTAATAAAAAAGTCGCACTTCCTCTCTCAGCGAGATACAAATTGTAACGCCTGAGCGAATACACGATGCAATAAACTTTACACACCTCTGGAGTATGAGAATGACCAAGTTCCTCACAGCTAACCCTGTCCCCGTCCACCCAACCACAAATACATGCCGTCGCGGAAAGCCACCATAGAAGAGCGCTTCGGCGCCCCAAGACGACGTCTAGCAGGGCTTTCCGACAAGAGTGGGCACGTGGCTCTGGTGTCTCCGCCCCCCCCCCCCCTGGATTCGTCTGCTTTCCGATCAGAGGGGGCACGTGACTCTGGTGTCGCCACCCCTCCCCCTCTGGATTCGTCTGCTTTCCGATCAGAGGGGGCACATGACTCTGGTGTCGCCACCCCTCCCCCTCTGAATTCGTCTGCTTTCCGATCAGAGGGGGCACGTGACTCTGGTGTCGCCACCCCTCCCCCTCTGGATTCGTCTGCTTTCCGACAAGAGGGGGCACGTGACTCTGGTGTCGCCACCCCTCCCTCTTTGGATTCGTCTGCTTTCCGACAAGAGGGGGCACGTGACTCTGGTGTCGCCACCCCTTCCCCTCTGGGTTCGTCTGCTTTCCGATCAGAGGGGGCACGTGACTCTGGTGTCTTCACCCTTCTCCCTCTGGAATCGTCCCTGCATGACCATAATGCTGCTTGAATTAGGGACTATTAAATGCAACTTGTCCTTCGTCAAAATACAGCGGGCTAAATCAGTTGAAAAAACTCGGGGTGGGGGATGGGGGGAGGAAGGGGGGGGGGGGGGGGGAGGTCGTCAGGCCTTCGGCTCAGCCTTAAATCAGTTACAAAAATTGACACACCGGTGCGGTGGCACAGCCCCGGATCAGCTGTGGTGGCACAACCTAAAACCAGGAGCAGCTGTATTGATACAGCCTCGGATACGGCGGGTACGAGGCATCTGTACATCTTGCTGCGACCGTCACTGAAGCCGGGAATCCCACCTGGGACGGCTTCCTGGCCGACACAGCAGTCAACACGGACGAGGCATGAGGGCCTGCACACTGCCGGCCCGAGATCGGGTGGCTGCGACAATCGAGTCGCGCGGATGGCGGAGACGCACGCAATGGGGAGGCACACTGCAATACGTGTGCATGTGTACTGCACAGGCGTGCGACGCCGACGGAGTGTGGTTTGGCTTTTGCGTTTGTCACGCTTCCCAACTTAGCCGCATGCATTATTTATTTAGCTGGACTGGAGATCAGAGTCCCTTCCCAGCGCAGCTTGCTGCACTGGCACTGATGCTGCCATCCAAGTGGTCCAAACTATTGTATAATTTTGCCCCAACCTGTCGACCTACTAGAGCCGATTAATTATAATGTGCCACGCAATGCAACCTCACGGCCGCCCGCTCGCTAAGTCTTCCGCCCCTTGCCGATGAAGTACACCTTAGGCGAGAACTGAACCCACTTGACGAATTTCGAATCCCATCCGTCTGCCATCGGCTGTGGGTCCGGGCCGGCGCTCCATCCGCTACACCGCCGAGGGAGAGCAGCCCGACCAGCCAGCGTCGGCGTTTCCCGGAGACCCATCGTGGCGTCCCTCCTCCCTGCCGTATCAGCTCCGGCGGTTCTCGGCACCGCGTCTCCTCCCCGCCTGCTGGTCGCGGGTGGTTAAGACTGAGGGGACACCGAGCGCCACACGGCTGCCTGACTCACTGGATGGCGTCACGGCGTCACCGTGAAGCCATGGCAAGCCATCGTAAGAGATTAGCAGCTACTTATAGCAAGGGACCAGCGGTGAACCAAAGAGGATGTGCTGGCCGATCGGGGCCCACCGCATGACGCCACGGGGAGAGACACAAAGGCCGGCTTTGCCAAGAGTGTCGCAGCAAGCCAACATGACAGCCAACATGACCACACTGATTGCACGGGAAATTAATGAAGCCATTTCAGGCCTAAAAATCTCGCGGATGTTTACACCACACTGGTGTATTGCACCTCGAGGGTCGGAAATAGCTGACATCCCAAAAACTGGTGTTGTGCTTGCAAACGAACGCGAAGGATGTTACCAGCATGTTTAGAGTGCTTATGTAAATGAACGGTAATTCCATAAGACTGCCTCTTATCTTTTAATCAAATGTATTTATATACGATTTAGCCACGAAACCAAAACGTTATGTAATCATGAGTGTCTATACCTGAGTCGCTCGCTTAAATTTCATTAAGTGCTTAAAAGTACCCAGCAGGGAGAAGCAGAGACCTAACCACATACAGCATCATCATACTACAGTTACCACAGCCACTGCACATGTTGACATGAGCGCCAGGCGAGAGTTATGGCGGCACCAAATCACCTACACTAGAGGATGCCGTGACAAAATCTCCATTCGCTGATTTTTCAGAGAAAAAGCAATCCCATCAACGCCCCACGTGGCCGTTGTGCACTGTACCGACAGAGTCGACGGCAAGCTTGCGCATACGCTGTCCTCATAAGTTCCACAAATGCTGAGTGAACCGTGACGTCATGTTCGGACAGGTGAGCACACCGCAGCTTTGGGCCCGGCGTGTGTGGTCATCGCACATAAATCAGGTTATGATGCAGTTCGTCAGGAAACCGGGAACGCGTTCTTTTTGAACTCACCATCCGATTCGTACAGGTGGCAATGCAAAGTCACTTTCCCTCACCGGGGAATGCAGCTAGTTCTGGCGGATTTTTCCCGATTAGCTGCGATCAAACAGGCTGACAAACCGCCGGCGGTTGTATAACGACGGGCCTAGCGCCCCCACGCGACATTTTTACCGGACAAATCCACGTTCCGTCTGGCCCCGTGACGACAAGACACCGGAGAGGCCGCCAATCTGCAGCATCTGCCTCAAGGTCACCATATGAAAAACCCCAAAAGGCAATCGTCACGCTATCGGTGATTTAGAGGCACCTCGCGCTGGAGCGCGCCTCTCGCTAATCGCCACGCTCGGCCCACCGGCCTCTCCGAGTGCATTCCTCAGGCGCTTCCCTCGAACTCGGCCGCCCGCGTGCCTCCACCTGTAACAGGCTCTTCAGCAGGGCGTGCGTCGACGCACCATGGCTGAGGTGCGGCGCTGCTGTCCACCACGCGCACGCAGCCGCAGCGCCGCGCCAGCCAGAGCAGGAGCCGCGCTGCGCAAGTTCTCAGTAAGGGGCTGCGCAGGCGCAACGCCTGCCCGGGCCCGTCGCGGCTCTGCGGCGCGCGGCTCGTGCGTGCCGTTCGGCGCTGGGGGCCGGTGCGCGCGCTGGCCCAATCCCCGCTCACACGCCGCCACTCGCCGGGTCATACTTGTCTGACGGCAGGATAGCCACCCGCCTGACGTGCACTTGAAAAGACTTTGCGCTGCGAAAAATTGGCCCTCGGCACCGGCTTGGCCGTGCCCGCCGCGGCCGGACCTTGACACTGTAGCCTGGCCGAAGGTGGCGCACATGAGCCCCCGCAAGCCGTGAAGCAACACACAAAGATAAGGGTGAAACGGGATGCGGGTCGCCGGGGCCGAAAAGACCGCTTACGGGGAGAGAGGGAGGCGACGCCGTCGGCCGTTGCGTGGCACGCACTGCCACGTACGGACCGGCGTAAGCACCGCGGCGTGGTAGCTTGGGGCACGGACCGGCGCCTGACCCGCGCGGCGGGTTCGGAGGGGGTGCTGCGCCGTTGGCGAGGCGGGCCGCCGGGGCGGTGCCGCGCGCCAGTGGACGGCGTCCCTCAGTGGGCAGAGCATCGGCCGCCGGACAGCGGTGGAGACGGCGCTACGCGGCGGCGCGGAAACGGTTCGCACCGACCAGTGGACTGTGGTGCAGTGAGATGCCACCCCGAGACTACAGCGCACAGCAGCATTTCAATTGCGGGAGACGTGAAAGGCAGTCTTCTGCAGGCGCAAAGCTCAGAAAGGAGGCCTAGGGTGGAAACGGGAGTGGGAGGAGTGGGGGAGGGGGGCGCGAGGCCCACGTGGTTATGCGTCATGCACTGCGTTCACAAAGTAGTGGTCGCAGCAAAGTGGGCACAGCAAAACAGCCGCTGTGTGTATAAGTCAGCATTGGCTTTGATTGTACGTAAGCCGCATACGACCGACGCCCTTCGAATGACACGTTCAAGCAGCGCGTATCAATTGCACAGCTCCGGCGCCGATAAGTCGGGAGCCCACCCATCGCTGACAAGACAGGGAACGAGCCACCATCCGGCCACTCACGGCCAGTCGGCAGTCGGCAGGCGGCCGACAACAGGCACCGCCAGCACCACAGTCGCTGGCACGCGCCATGCCATAGCCAACAGCGCGTGGTGTGGAGGGGTGTGGGCGACGTCTGACCAAACTTCAGTGGGGAGGCGACGGTGATTACACACCTGGTTTAAGACAAAGAAGGATCAAACTTGGCGTATCCATCGTCCGGGTGGCAGACCACGGCCCGACCGGACGGTGACCTGCCCTGGCGTAATGGGCCGGGTGTCTTTGACCTGACCACGGCCCGACCGGACGGTGACCTGCCCTGGCGTAATGGGCCGGGTGTCTTTGACCTGTCCACGGCCCGACCGGACGGTGACCTGCCCTGGCGTAATGGGCCGGGTGTCTTTGACCTGACCACGGCCCGACCGGACGGTGACCTGCCCTGGCGTGATGGGCCGGGTGTCTTTGACCTGACCACGGCCCGACCGGACGGTGACCTGCCCTGGCGTAATGGCCCGGGTGTCTTTGACCTATCCACGGCCTGACCGCGCATGACCTGACCTGGCCTGACTTTCCGTGACCTGTCCTGGTGGTGACCTGGTGTGACCTGACCTGGCGTGTTGTGTCGGGCGTCTCGATGATGCTGGGCAGCGAGCAGGCCTTCTTGGTGAGCCGGCCGGCAGTCGCCGAGGAGCCACGTCCGGACGGCGAGCTCGGCTCCGACCGCGGTGCGAACGGCTCCCGCTTGCCGACGATGAAGTACGTCTTCAGGTCTGTCGGCCACGCGCAGACTGTCACGCGGCGCCGAGCCCTCACGCGGGCACGCCGGGCCAGCGCAGAACAACGCCCCCGCTGAGAGGCAGGCGCTACACACCAGACGGTGAGGTCATCCAAATACTGCCGAGTCACTGTGCGTCGGACAGATGCCACTTGCACGTTGCAGGTGGTGGCGCGTATTTGCTTTCATGTGCCATAGTATTTGGTTACATCACGAGTTAGCCTCGGCATTATGGGTTTTGACGCGCGAAAGTCCAGCCATGTAGAGCAAGCACGTTCATCCGTAAATAACATTGCTGCAAAAATGGTCAGCTGCGAAATGGAAAAAAATAGTCAGCTTCGGGTCTCGAAAGACCAGGCGATTTTCATAAACAATATTGACAAGCTTGCAATGATTTGCGGTTCTAGCAATCATGACAAAATAATTAAAAAGTGTAGCATTGGTAATTTTCGGTCAATTACTGGTGCCACTAAGGGCAAGGCAGTTTCGAAGTCCATAAATGAATCGTAACCGGTAGCTTCCACGCGCAGTTGGTTTGGAGTCTTCATCTACTGTTATTGCTGATATTTGACGTCAATCCTTTTAAAGGCTCCTAAGTGGGCCGAGACATATGCGCACGAGGACGCACGATCGTCTGTACACATCGCCCGACGCACCGTCGCCAGTATGATGGCATGTTGTTTCGGCGCTCGCACCATCGCCGGTATGATGGTCATGGTCTGTTGTTTGGTGCTCGCACCGTCGTCAGTATGATGGTCATGGTCTGTTGTTTGGTGCTCGCACCGTCGTCAGTAGGATGGTCATGGTCTGTTGTTTGGTGCTCGCACCGTCGTCAGTATGATGGTCATGGTCTGTTGTTTGGTGCTCGCACCGTTGTCAGTATGATGGTCATGGTCTGTTGTTTGGCGCTCGCACCATCGCCAGTATGATGGTCATGGTCTGTTGTTTGGTGCTCGCACCGTCGCCAGTATGATGGCATGTTGTTTCGGTGCTCGCATGTTGTATGATGGCATGTTGTTTCGGATGGCATGTTGCACCGTCGCCAGTATGATGGTCATGGTCTGTTGTTTGGTGCTCGCACCATCGCCAGTATGATGGTCTGTTGTTCGGTGCTCGCACCGTCACCAGGATGATGGTCTGTTGTTTGGTGCTCGCACCGTCGTCAGTAGGATGGTCATGGTCTGTTGTTTGGTGCTCGCACCGTCGCCAGTATGATGGTCATGGTCTGTTGTTTGGTGCTCGCACCGTCGTCAGTATGATGGTCATGGTCTGTTGTTTGGTGCTCGCACCATCGCCAGTATGATGGTCTGTTGTTCGGTGCTCGCACCGTCACCAGGATGATGGTCTGTTGTTTGGTGCTCGCACCGTCGTCAGTAGGATGGTCATGGTCTGTTGTTTGGGTGCTCGCACCGTCCGCCAGTATGATGGTCATGGTCTGTTGTTTGGTGCTCGCACCGTCGTCAGTATGATGGTCATGGTCTGTTGTTTGGTGCTCGCACCATCGCCAGTATGATGGTCTGTTGTTCGGTGCTCGCACCGTCACCAGGATGATGGTCTGTTGTTTGGTGCTCGCACCGTCGTCAGTATGATGGTCATGGTCTGTTGTTTGGTGCTCGCACCGTCGCCAGTATGATGGTCATGGTCTGTTGTTTGGTGCTCGCACCGTCGTCAGTATGATGGTCATGGTCTGTTGTTTGGTGCTCGCACCGTTGCCAGTATGATGGTCATGGTCTGTTGTTTGGTGCTCGCACCGTCGCCAGTATGATGGTCATGGTCTGTTGTTTGGTGCTCGCACCGTCGTCAGTATGATGGTCATGGTCTGTTGTTTGGTGCTCGCACCGTCGCCAGTATGGTGGTCATGGTCTGTTGTTTGGTGCTCGCACCGTCGCCAGTATGATGGTCATGGTCTGTTGTTTGGTGCTCGCACCGTCGTCAGTATGATGGTCATGGTCTGTTGTTTGGTGCTCGCACCGTCGCCAGTATGATGGTCATGGTCTGTTGTTTGGCGCTCGCACCGTCGCCAGTATGATGGCATGTTGTTTCGGTGCTCGCATGTTGTATGATGGCATGTTGTTTCGGATGGCATGTTGCACCGTCGCCAGTATGATGGTCTGTTGTTCGGTGCTCGCACCGTCACCAGGATGATGGTCTGTTGTTTGGTGCTCGCACCGTCGTCAGTATGATGGTCATGGTCTGTTGTTTGGTGCTCACACCGTCGTCAGTATGATGGTCATGGTCTGTTGTTTGGTGCTCGCACCGTCGCCAGTATGATGGTCATGGTCTGTTGTTTGGTGCTCGCACCGTCACCAGTATGATGGTCATGGTCTGTTGTTTGGTGCTCGCACCGTCGCCAGTATGATGGTCATGGTCTGTTGTTTGGTGCTCGCACCGTCGCCAGTATGATGGTCATGGTCTGTTGTTTGGTGCTCGCACCGTCGTCAGTATGATGGTCATGGTCTGTTGTTTGGTGCTCGCACCGTCGTCAGTATGATGGTCATGGTCTGTTGTTTGGCGCTCGCACCGTCGCCAGTATGATGGTCTGTTGTTCGGTGCTCGCACCGTCGCCAGTATGACGGTCTGTTGTTCGGTGCTCGCACGATCGCCAGTATGACGGTCTGTTGTTTCGGTGCTCGGAAAGTTTTTGTCTGATGCCGCCGCAACGCCGGGCCGTCGGCATTTGGACTTGGCTTCGATCCATGTTGTCCAGCTTTTTCGGAAATTGATGCTATATTTTTCATGTTAAGCGAATGGGGAGGCCACACAGTGGCGGTGTTACAATAGTGGAGAAGAAAGGACCGCTCCAACAGTTTGCATGCGAATGCCGAACGACTTATGTACCACACGAATTAGGAGGGCGTGATGGCCTGTTCGGGCGGGGTCGCTCAGTTTCTAGAAATTTTCATAGCTCACATGAGCCTCATCTGACATGCTGTCTTGCTCGTAACATTAACACGCGGGATTCAAAGAGCTCTCTATCCATGAGTGAGCAAGTTTAGGCAAAACTAAGATCCAAAAACCTCAGGCACGTGGAAGATAATATGTTCCAAACCTTTACAGACTGTCCGTGCATTGACAGTCTGTAGTGGTCTGCAATGGAGAGATATTTCAACAAGCAGTCATTCAAGCTTCCCCATCCCACACCCCATACACGGCACCATGCTGAGGGATATTCGTAACACAGACGGGTGCACAGATGGGTTTCGGACGGCCCGCTCACAGCACAAGGCTGGAAATAAGCGCACTAAGGACATCATTGCAGTCGTGCACGTCCTGCATCCTAACGCCCGATACCCAGCACCGTGCTAAGGTCTGCCCAAATCACGGAGATTACACCGAGGGGTTTCGGTGGCTCCTACCGAGCGTAAAAGCGCACATGCCGGGTACATTAGCCGCTTGTCTTCGAGCAGGCCTTCGCAAAATATCGCGCATCCGGTGTTCAAATGCGGGAGCTGGAATGATTTATTTCCTTGAAACCTCTTGATTGTATCGCGCGAGTCCATACAGAATCGGAAGATTTTCTGTCTTTAAGCGCCTAAGGTTTTTAATCTTAAGCTTTGTTTATCCTTGCTTACTCGCAACCATGAACCCTACCCGAACCGTCAATCAATCTCACGGTATATCCCAACTAATGCCGGCGTCTCACCACCGTCTCCTGGCTTGTTGGAAGTGGGTTCCTTTCAACATTAGAACACATGTTGCCGAAGAACCAGGAGCGTACGATTTTCGTTGTTTATGTCAGCTATTTTCAGACAAACACACATGTTGTTTTGATCACAAGCCATAGACGCATGAGTCGGCGAGGGAAGACAGGAAACCACACTGCTCTCCCGCGTTTAGTGCGAGGAGTAAATGGGCGTGAAATTCTAATGGTTAAATTCTGACATTAACCTTATGATCATTCAAGAAAAAGCGAAGAAAAAATTACAGTAATGCATCGTAAGAATCTGTCTAAAAGGTATTCGGTTCTCCTTCTTTTTCAAACGCTTCTACGCCCGTGCCGCAAACACTAGGTC